GTGTATTGGTAAGAGACTAGCTCCGCATGCGTACTTGTGCTAATGGAACTGGTTTGGGCGGCCCATTGACTGTATCGTCAACATTCATGGGTGAGTGAGTAGAGGTGTATTCATCTTGAATCTGCAGAGCATGTGAGTAGCGGTTTAGGCTATGATAAAAAGGCATACAGCATGTGGTCGACCCAATAAAAGTGCATGCGTTCTGTCTGCATGATAAAGATAAGACCTGTACCCATTTAGCAAGCCATCAACTAAAGACTGGATCGTGACACACCAGACACGCCGTCGATACTCTGTTAGATAAGGATTCAATCCCTATGAACTATCAGTTCAGGTGGATGGACTAAGTAGGAGTTGACATACCAAGAGGGTACCATCACGATGTAGGCCTAGTGCTTGGGCTGTGCGGACAGCGGCCCCCAGCTGACTCCAACACTCCGTGATGCGTCGATCAAAGGTGAGGAAGCGAGCACTCTGAATAGAAGTTTTGGCGAATAGTGTGGCGGTTCAGCACTATCAACTCACCAATAGACGTGCTAGCACGAGCTCCAGTGAATCGCTCTGAACTGCCGCGGCAATTAATAAGGATCTGCGTGCTATAGAATTGTTGAGCTGAGATGAACCAATGAGGATGGAGAAGTTGTGAGCTCACAGCTCCAGTAGTAGCGCAGGCTATTCAGACGCCTGGTCCGTTCATCTCCGAGAATTGTTTCTGGTGCCAGGCGCGCCGATATCGCAAGAACTACGAAGAGCAAAGGTAAAAACCTAACATCTTCTGGTTGAACTCGATGTCCATTATTGCAAATAGACTCAAAAGACGCCCTGAACGCCATTTCGTCGATGGGATATCGGGTATAATTGATAGAGGTGAAATAATAGTCGATCAAAACTTCACATAGAGCTTTGGGAGGAAGTTCTTGTACGAGTTCTGGTAGTTTGTGCGGGGCGACGCCACATTCTTGCACAAGAGACTTGAGGTTATCGGAAGGAGAGGGTTCATCCAGGGTTGGGGGGAAAGCACTGGGTTGCAGCTGCGAAGATTTAGCGGCGACCCTAAGTTACAAGGCATGATCATAAATTTTGATATTCACCTGCTCAAGAATTTGCATGGAGGAAACACTTCCTACTGCACTGTTTCCAAAGTAGGCTCCACCACTCTGCAACTGCCCACCTTTGGTGGCAGGGTCATCTGGACTACTGCCCCGTGACCTTCCATCCGCAAAGTTGGGAGGAGACCCATGATCTGATAATGAATCCAAAGAAAATTGTGGTAATGCTTGCTCGATGATTCGCTCCAGACGAGCAATGCGCAGGTGAAGATCGTTCTCGCTTTTGCCTGGTGTATAACCTTTGCATAACTCTGGGACTTTGCGGGCCACACACTGGACATGGGAAAGGGATGTTAGTGAGAGACTGGCATGCTAAACAGTCTCGAGTCCTCACATGTCCACAAGGTATTTGACGGTCGCACTGGATAAGAAAACACGATTAGCGGTTCAATAACATGAATAACAGTTGTAGTACCTTTTGCTTGCGTCGGTGACATTCCGAACAGCTATAAGAGACTCGAGCTCTCTTCCCTGGCTTCTCAGTCTGTCGAGCAGCCACGCCTTGCTTTGGAGGGATTGTTAGCTTTGAGGGTAGACCATTCTCTTCGTGGGGTTCCTCGTTCTTTCGCTTCTTTGGGGAGGATGTGTCCTTCAAGTCCTCGTTGAGCATACCGACTGGATATGTCGAACCTTATGAACCCCCTTCCTGAGACAGTAAATCTCTAATAGCAATGCACTCTTTAATATTGGCCGAGTGTAGAGGCGATTGGGAAGGACCCGTCGACGGCAGAGGCTGAACGAGGCCAAAGATCGTTTGCTTTGTTGGAGGAGTCACCAACTCGCAACTGACAGACGACAACGTTACGGAAAAATCTCATTCCAGCATACTATTCAAGCGTATTTATCACAATCACATCAACGTGCTAAACGATTAGGGTTTCCCTTCCTTCGCAAACGGATTACAAGCATAAACTTTGATAACCGGCGGACTCTTGGTCAAATCAGCAGTCACGATAACCTGCGAAACGATAAGTGATCAGGCTTGAGACACACGCAATTACCAAATGTGGAACTTACAGGAACGCTCATCAGCTCCTTGACATCTTGAATACGATGACCGGCTGCCGTGACCCGAATGCCTTCGAATTGTGGCTTGACTTTTGCAAGCGAGAGCGACCTCTGCTTCGACGTTTCCTTCTCGGCCTGAGCACCTCCACTACGATGCATCACAATTTGTTCATCATCTCCGTCATCATCATCGAATAAGGCGCTTTCATCGTTGACGGAACGGGAGGTGACTTCCATTCTCAAGGCATGCTGCTCTGCCGTTTGTTTGACCTTCTTCAGATGCTCATCGTCACTGTTTTCTGCGAGCCAAGAAATGACATCGCGCTCCGACCAGTAAATTTGGAGGGAATGGTTGTGCTCGTCGAAAACATGGTTCTAAAACAAGATCAGGAAAGCACCACACCAAATAAATTGAAACCTACATCGATTGGATGCTGTTCTTTCTCCCAGTAAGTCTAGAATTCAAGTCTCGTACGACGCTTATACTTACTTGACTAGTCGAA